TAAAATAAAAGCTATAATTTATTTATTTAACTAAATAACTATGATAAAAATATTAAACTGAGAATTAAAATATGAAATAAATAAATAACTAAATACATATTGATAATTAAAAATCAAAGTAAATCAATCTTTTAAATATAGTAGAGTAAATTAATTTTAATCTATATATAAATAGTTATATTGTTAATAATATTTATTATAGTAGATTTTAAAGAAAGAGAAAATTTTTATAATATAAAAGCAGACTGAGTAAAAAATGACTATTAAATAAATATGAAGATTTATATACTATTATTAAATGATATCTGAAAATAAATATAATAAAATAATTTATATTTAAAAAAGAACTGATGTATTATAAGAAAAGAAAAAAAAATTAAAAATTAAAAATTAATATAAAGTTATATCTTAATATCAGTAAATATTCTCTTAATCTTTTTAATTAGTTCATATATTATGAAAGTTCACTTACTGATTGAAGCAAATATTAGCTTTTATGATAATTTGAAGATGTAGATAGTATATTTTTCATTATAAAAAACAATAAAAATTAACTTACTCAGTACTCTGAAAGCATATAAACTAAAATATAAATAAAAAATTATTAAAGTTTTAATACTAATCTCTAATTAGAAATAAAGATTTCTCTAAAAATAAATAGCAAAATCATATATGAACATGATATAAATGATATATAAAAATATGATAAATGTATTAATATATTTGAAGAAGTATAAAAAAAAAAGATAACTAGGTTTAATTAATTACATATAATAATTAAATAATCACCTCATTAGCACTTCAAACTAATATTTTGAAAACTTTAATTTCTTTTATCTTATTATTTTGCTGCTACCTTTAGCTAGATTCCCGCATTATTCTATCATGGGGCAAAACAGTGTTGGCGTGAGTCAATGATCCCTTGATTCGTAACTAATTAGTTATTCAAACCCCAGAGAAGAGAAATAGTTCAGCCTTTTCTGGCTCCGGATCTTCTTTCATTTCCGCTAATTCCAGCTTGCGGCTGACGGTTCCTTCCTGTCCATGTATGCCTAGATACATACCTATATATTATATATTTCCCTCCAATACTATGATATAACACCAACCCGCCGTATGAGCGCAAAAACAAAAATGTCTCCCGACGAGGCCTCCAAGCCTCCTCAGTTGCGTGCAGCGTCCGCTTGTGTTGCGTGCAACATGAAGAAGGTAAACAAATACCGTTCATCTGTGTGAAAATTCCCTCCTTGCAATTGCTGTAGCTGGCATCTATACATCTATGCCTGCGTACTGTCACTAACCCAAGTCCACGCGGGTCTCAATCAGATTCGTTGTGTTTATCCCGAGGGGAATAAAGAGTGCATCAACTGCTCACGAAACCGCTGGGAATGCTCGTGCGTGTCCTATCAAACCTGGACCACAGAGTAGAGGGTCTAGGAATCATGTTGCTGATTTCCTTTAGGCCTCGTGAACGGAAGAGGAAGCGGCGTAAGATTACCAGGGTGGAAGTGAACGAAGGCTGTCCCACAGCGAATGAGGAACATAACACCACTCACGCCATCTCCCCAAAGGTGACTGCCTGGGATTCGAGAATGGCGGGGTGGGTTGCTGGGCGGACTGGCATTGCTACTGGAAATCGTCCATCAGTAGCTCCAGACGTGTCCTCTGGACATGTCGCTGCTACCACCCCCCAGCTTTCCCCACCGACCTCCGCTCTCCGTGAGACGGACAGAGTTCCTCTATATACGAGCGCAACACCCAATTTCTCCCTACCACAGCGACAAGAATCACGTTCGTATGATGAGAGTCCCGGCACCTCCAGCTTCCTCGGACGATCAGAGTATCTAAGTGGCGAAGTCCCCATCAATGAAGACCAGGCAAAGTCATACCCCGCAGTTGCAAGTGAGAGCTTGACGGAGGAAGATATCCGTATTTTAGAACTTCAGCATGCCTTCGACTTGCCCCCACGGGCAGTTAGAGAAGGGTTGATAGATGCGTTCATGAAGCGATGTGCTCCGTGGATGCCCATTGTTGAGCGAAGCTGGCTGGCTGAACGCCAGGGGAACCAGCCGTCATTGCTGCTCCTCCAAGCAGTCTTCCTTGCAGGCAGCAGAGTATCGTCTGCTCCGGCAATTGCTGCGTATGCGTCGCCAAATGAGTTCTACCGTCGGGCGAAGGCTTTGTTCTGGTCGGGCTACGAAAAGAATACAATCACCGTCATAACCGCAGTGTTGGTCTTACACTGGTATAATCCAGAAGGGCCAGAGCATATATCTATTAACACCAGTGGCTTTTGGAACCGCATTGGTGTTGGTCTAGCCTATCAGATTGGACTTCATAAAGAACCACCAGCAGGGCGAGATGCTGCACTTCGTCGAAGGTTGTGGTGGACTTTATTTGTAGTAATTCCCTCATCTCTTTTTTCTTCACAGGGCGTCTAATATATTGTCCAATTTTTTTGGCAAAAATTTTTAAGAATTACTTTCTCCACTGCCTGTTGGAATCTTGCCGCTAACCTGATCATTTTCAGGCAAGAGATTGCTTGATTTCAGCAGGCCATGGACGACCCCGTGCCATAAACCCTGACGACTCCGATGTCAGACTACTCTCGCACGAAGACTTCTACGGGTCGACGGCAGATGGCTCTATGTTTATTTCATACGTAGAATTGGCTTCCTTACTGGGCGATCTAACTCAATGCTGCTGCCGCAAGTATCTTTCGCGCCAAAAACGCCAGTATATCGAGGGAGCGCTCTACCGTTGGACACGAGAGCTGCCGAACCATCTGCATCTCTTCCAGCGTACCAGCTCGCACGATGGCTCCTCTTCGAAGTTGGCGCTGGCGCCGTATAGCTTCGAGGCCCGCCAGTTACACATATTATACTTTATAATTCTTGCCATTCTATTTCGGTCTTCTCCACCTGCAAGCACACCCTCTGCGGCAGCCGTTCTCGCGTCATCCTTCGTTGCAGGAATTTTCGAAGACTTCCTAGCCCGTGATGAAATTCGTTTCCTAGGCCCTATATTCACCTTTTATCTTTTGGCATCGGGAGTAGGACTTTTATCGTGCTATCGATATCCTCATCTATGGGTCAAGGCTGAGTATGATCTCCGTATAATTTACAATTCACAGAGAGAACTCTCTAAAAGATGGCCTTCTGCAATTGGCAGTTTAAACGCTCTGTGGGCCATGAAGGAAGAAGCAAGCAAAGCTCCAAGACACGAGGATTCACAGCCGCTTGGTAGCCTTACTTCAGAGCAGATGACATGTTTCAGCGGCTTTGGTACAGATTTGTGCCGGCTTGGAGAAGCCATATTAAGCCCCCACATACAGGGCCTCTTAGGCCCACGAAGAGCCGATGACAATCAATGCTCAAGAACTGCTTCTGACATGATGACAGCCGGTATTCTAGCGGAGTTGAAAACGCCAATAAGTACTCCTGCAGTTTTGGATGGATATTTACCACTTGCAACTGTCTTAGAACACCCATCCATACATATAGCATCAGGAGGGGATACTGCAGACATCACTGACGATATTCTCTGTGCTCAGTACGAAGGAATTGGCAACTGGCTTCTGAAGGATTGGGATTGGAATAGCGATATTGCCTGGTGACTCAGCGCACTACCTCGCTGCAAGTAATACCCGAAGTTGAAGGTTGCCTTATTAATTCACTGGCCGCGATGTCTCCCCTCTCCATACACCTCTCCTCATTAAGTTTTTTTTTATAACGATGTTATGGGGGTGTTATTATCGGTTCACGGTTTCCGCCCCTGACTACGGCAAGATAGATCGGTATTTCGGTACTTCGGGAATTCCCCTCTCCTCTTGTCTTAGTCTAGTTGGCATTAGTTACCTAGGGAACTTCTGTGTGCCCGCGGTCCAAGATGCGGAGAAGTGTGGGAACCAGACGTCAACTCGGTTAATGCTATTACTCTTTACTGCCACACCTCCCTTAACACGCGCAATGCAACCTCTCTTAAATATACCAATTACGTACCATCCCGTGGATACTCATGCCCTCGCAGTGAACGCTGCCGCCCGCCATCAGTATACGCGTCATAGCCAAAGCCCATAATGTCCGAGATATCAAAGTTCCGCAATCTGTCTCTCACCAGAAATGGTAATGTTTTTGTCATTACTATGCAGAAAGCACCCGAAAACAGACTATGTTCATGGTATTGTCAGGAAATCATCAGGGCGTTTCACACTGTGCAACGCATTCTCGGGCCTGACGCTGAAGGTGCCATAATCACAAGGGGGAACGATGCCAAATTCTGGTGCACGGTATGTCGTCGTCGCAGATATAAACAGTGTTTTATCTCTGTTCTTATTAGATAAATATCGACATGTGTAGGGACTTGAACTCGATGAAGGGGATACCAATCCTTTTGCCAACACTGATGGCTTCTATCCGGTAATCTTGTCCTTACATTAATTTCGTAGTTCCTATATCCTATGAGGAAGCTATTTTCCATTTTATTATATATGATTATTTTTCCCGGGAACCCGTCAATTACACAATTCTTTCCGGTCTAACAACCAACACATCCAGATGCTGCACACAATTCTCGACTTCCCGTATCCCACAATCGCTCTACTCACTGGTCACACTTTCGGAGGTGCCTGCCCTTTCGCCCTGAGCCATGATTACCGAATTATGAATTCTTCCCGTGGCTTCATATCCATGCCGCCTGTGAATCTAGGCCTTCATTTTGACGGCATCGGTTCTCTTCCTCGCCTTAAACTTGCTCCACAAGTTGCCCGCAAAATGTTACTTGAGGCTCACAAGTGGACAGGAAAGGAAGCTCTTGCGGATGGTATTGTTGATGCCATTGCTGATCCGGAACGAATGATGGATGTTGCAATGGAGCTCGCGGAGAAGTGGGCTCCGAAGGCAAAAATGGGGTAAGTCTTTGCTTTTCTTTTCCTTGCCGTTCCTCTTCCTCTTGAGCCTTCTCCTAGACAGGCTAAAATCTTCTTCCTTGTTTCTTTCACATTTTTCTTCTTTTACTTTTCTACCCATGTTTTTCAGTTCAGTTCGAAGAATTGCTGATTGGTTGGGTGGACAAATAGTGTGTATGGTGTTCTACGCACTGAACTTTGGGGGGATGCTATTGAGAAGTTTCAAAGGATCAGCTATGTGCATAGTCGAGAAACGAGTAGGGCAGCTAAGGTCAAGATATGAAAGAGTTAGCTATTACCGTGAACAACGACCATGGGAATTTTGATATTAAAAAGCAGGACTTAAGTTCTCTATCATATATATATATATATATGTATGTATATCAAAGAAAATTGGAAAGTCAACCGTGGCAATATAAATATAGCTATTCTGAAATTCATTCATAGTTGCGAGTAAACCTTTTTCGCCTTCTTATTGGAATCCCATACCTGCACCTCAAATTCCCTGTGATAATCCGCTGGAAAAAATTTGGGGCCAAGCTCCTTTTTCACAACCTTCCCTGTCCCGCTTTTAGGCAGCTCGCCCTCGACCACTCTAAGCAATGTTGGCATCTTATACGCGGCCAGCTTCTTTCTTAGGTCTCTACGCAAAACATCCAGAGTAAAATCTTTCCCTACCCATCCATTTTCCGCACATCTGTACATAGTCTGATCATCTCGCAGGCTGACCACGGCAGCGACTCGCTGGCCGAATTCATCGTCAGCAACACCAACAACCATCACCTCGGAAACATACGGGAGGCCGAGAATCTCGCGCTCAATATCCAGTGCGGAAATTTTGTAGCCGCCAGATTTGAGGATATCGAGAGAGGCGCGGCCGAGGATGAAGTAATAGTTTCCTTCACGACGAGCCACGTCTCCGGTTTTGAAGAACCCGTCTGCATCGTGGGCTTCAACAGTAGCGACTTCGTCGTAAAGGTACCTGTTCAAGTGCCGTGGCTTGATTAGATCCTACATTGATATACTCACCTGAATATCCAGGTCGTAAAAACGCCACTGCATAGGGACATGAGGTTCGTACTTTGAAAACATGTACGGCCCCTTTATTAACACTTCTCCCTCTTCTCCATCGGAAAGTTTCACGGTAGTTCCAGGAAACACCGACCCCACACTTCCAGGAGGAACAGGATCGGATTCGACAGAAGGGGTAAACACCGGACCAATTTCAGAAGCGCCATATCTTGACAAAATGGTCCTGCCACCGAGTATCTTTGACCAAAATTGCTGAACGGGAGTTGGGAGTGCAGACGTTCCACAAAGCATTGCGCGGAATTGCCGCGCACCTGCAATATACTGGTATACCTCGTGAGGTGGTAGAGGGGCAATGGTTCGTTCAAAATATCGCATCATTCTCATGTAGATAGTTGGTACTCCAGAGAATATATGCAAGCCGCCTTTCTTCCAGCGCTCCCACATCCAAACCACGTCGAAACTGCCACTCCTAAATTCAACGCAGGCACCCGAGTAGATGTAAGGGAGGAAGTTAATACCAATTCCAGTTGCATGGTGGACTGGGAGAACATGCAGAATCACATCTTTCTCGGTGACGCCAAAATGGTCAGAAACTGCTGCCGAGGTATCATGTAGATATGCTCTCCTCATCACAGCACCTTTTGGAGGCCCCGTTGTTCCCGAGGTGAAAATAACCACCCCAGGCCCATTGTCGTCAAGATACTTATCAGACGAAAGAACGATATCACCTTGCGGCAATGGACATGTCATAAAGTGTCTCGCAATATGAACGCAGCCAATATTTTCCGACGTGGTCTTTTCAAGATGAGCGGCTAGAAGGTCTGCCAACTTCCCCCCGTCGGAAGAAGATAGAATGGCGGCGCATTTAGCTTTGAGCACAAAATAAGATGCTTCTTTGACTGGGAGTAGAACGGCTGTAGATATTTCAGTCAGTCCGGGATTCTCACTTGCTTGGTCAAAATATAACTAGTTGATTAACTATGTGCTCACTTATCGGCACTACCACAGCTCCGAGAGCACATATCGCAACAAAGCCCACAGCATACTCGTACCCGCCAGCGGCGATGAGAGCAATGTATGTATTTTCACAACGTCTCAATGACCACTGGGTTTCTGGTGACAGGCTCAACCGAAGAGCATTCCGAACTGCAAGAACGTCACTGAGGAATTCTATATATGATTTTTCGATTTGGAGATTAACATCCCTTATAGCAATTCGCTGCGATTTACGATGCGCATGTCGAAGCAATTTCGAGAAGAACGGAGAAAGGGGTAGGACATGGTCCCCGGTATGTGAGGGAACAATATCCGTCCGGTCGAATCCCATGGTGTAATTGTGTACATACATAGGAAATATATATAGCAGGGCATATATATATATACTCGTAAACTTTGCGACTTGCCCAAGCATCCGGGTTATTCGACCAATGCAAAAATGCCTCACAAAATATGCGCTGTGCCTGTCGAAAAATAGCATCCACTTAGGTATAAACCTTTCGCCCATTTGGAATTCCGGCAAGCACCTTTATTGGCTGCCGGCATTATTGCAATTGAAATAGACAGATGGTATGTGGGGAGTGAGAATGAAGAGTCCCGAGCACTGGGATTTCGGCATTAACTAACTAGTTAGCTAAACATTTGGCGTTGTTAAGATTGAGATGGAAGAGTGCAGAGAAATTTTCAATGAGCAGATGATAGGCGTTTGTGTGTAGTTAGGTTATGCAAGACAATAGAAAGCGGCAGATTAAAAGCACTTATAACCATCAGCGAAGCTTCAAAAGAGGTAGTGGTCATGCAATTTCCAACACGGAGCTGCTGAGATGAGGATTTTCGGCAAAACTTGAGTTAACGAAAACTTCTAGTTGAGCTCGGTTCTTACGGGCGGGCGGACGGCCGAAACAGCAGGGGTTTCAGGGAATTCGCCGACAGTTATCCAAGGACTATTTAGCTAGCCAATGAGATTGGAGTCAAATGAACTGACTACAGTTTCTTCTTCATTTTCCAAAAACGCCTCAAAACTGACTATTATTAGATATTTGATATTTTTTTCTTTCATTCTTCTGGATTTCAGAAATATTATCTGATCCAAATATATCTCAACATTGATTATCATATGTGATTTTTGCCGGCATAAGTTATATATAGTGTTATATAAAGAAAAATAGGAGGTAAAATCAGATAATTTATAAGTTATAAAAAACCAGGTAAAATCTACAGAGATTTAATAAAGATTAGATTATCAATTTAGTGATTTCTTTTTTCAAGGACATAAAATTTAACATTATTCTCGTTTGGTAAAAAGTGATAATTTAGTTATATAATTTATAAATTAAGATGATTTGCTGAAGAGAAAACACTTCACATCAACTCTTAGTTGCTAAACTATGGAGCTAGGATCCCAAAGGGGACTAGCGCAGCTACAATGGGAGAGTGGACGCTCTCAAACAACATCATTTGTCATCCGCATCATCCCCATCAACAGGCGTTATTTATTTGATGTTGATTTTTTTGCTACACCTCTTCTCCCAGCATTTTGGCCCCGCTGAGCCGAAAGCCAGTGAGTCTCCACCACTGAAAAACTCACACCACTAAATGAAGAAAAAGATACTGATGCTTCTCAGAAGACAGTAATGTATTGACAATACCAAGGATCTTGTTTGTGTTCATTCTCACTCAGTAGCAAATTCTCTTGCATATTTTTCCTGTTCTTTCTTTGACTTGATCTTTTTATCATCTCAATTTTAAATTATTTGAAACTACTACTCATTTCCCTAAATGTTGCGGGGCACACCTTCTCCATGCCGTCCCTATTTAATTCACCCACCCTGGTGTTTTCGGCCGCCATCCTTCTCCGCGTGATCCTTCTCTTCTACGGTCTCTACCAGGATGCCCATTCCCCGGTCAAATACACAGATATCGACTACTTCGTTTTCACCGATGCTGCCAAGTTCGTCTCGCACGGACGGTCCCCCTATGAACGAGCCACATACCGCTATACTCCGTTGCTGGCGTGGCTTCTTGTGCCCACCGCCTGGTTTGGTGGATTCGGGTTTTCGTTAGGCAAAGTCCTTTTTGCACTTGCCGACATCGCAGCGGGTTGGTTGATTGTGCGCGTCCTCTTCCAGCAGCGGTATCTTCATATGGACATACCCCGTGCGCTCAAGTACACCAGTATCTGGTTGCTTAATCCCATGGTTGCCACGATTAGCACGAGGGGTAGCTCAGAGAGCCTGTTGGGTGTTATGGTTATTGCGCTTGTATGGGCTGTCATGGAAAAGAGGATTGGGCTCGCTGGCGCTCTCCTGGGCTTTGGGGTACACTTTAAGATCTACCCCTTCATCTACGCCCCGTCAATCATATGGTTGTTGGGCGATGACAAATGGCATAAAGAGGACGCATCAAAGCTTTCGTTTCTCTCCATTATAAATTGCCTGCGGTCCTTTGTCAATCCATCGCAAATCCTTCTTACGTTCACCTCGCTGGCCGTCTTTTCAGTTCTCAATATCACCATGTATTTAATATATGGCCACCCATTTATTCAACATACCTACCTGCATCATGTCACCCGTGTCGACCATCGTCATAATTTCTCCCCGTATAACATTCTCCTGTACCTCTCTTCCTCAGCAACCGAGCAAGACGCATCGCTAGGGAGCAACTTGGAGTCATTGGCGTTTATCCCCCAGCTTTCTCTCTCAGCCGTGCTGATCCCGCTTGTTCTGGCAAAGAAAGACCTGGCGGGGACTATGCTTGCGCAGACATTTGCATTTGTCACGTTCAATAAAGTATGCACGAGTCAGGTTAGTACCAGGCTCTTTTGTTTCACTTGAAAAAAAATGTGCAGAAATATCTAATGTTACCACAGTATTTCCTCTGGTACATGATATTCCTCCCTCTCTACCTACCCTATTCCTCCTTCATCAAGCAGCCCTTTATTGGCACCACTGCACTCTCCCTCTGGGTTGCTGGTCAAGCCCTCTGGCTGCACCAAGGGTTACACCTTGAATTTCTAGGTATCTCTACTTTTACTCCCGGTCTCTTTCTCGCATCTCTCACCTTCTTCGCGGTTAATGTTTGGATTTTGGGCATTATTGTCGCTGATGTGGGTCGTTGTTCGGCGATTCATGCGACTTTAGCAGCGGACAAAAAGGTCCGGAAGTGATTGGCATGCTTGGCTCCTTAAAAAGTTTCGTACATGTAATGGAGGAAGGTAGATGATACTGAAGGGGGCCTAGGAATTCGAGCGGACTGCTCTTTGAAATTGGGTCGTACGAATTTATGAGTTGCGAAATCACGCGAAGTGGACCTAACCCTGAATTCAGCGTTTGCCTTCAAAGATTTTACTAGATTTTACGAAGATCCAACTCCAATAGACATGAGCGGAATTAATATTAAGTATACACGGGGCATTTCTATTCCCTTGACTACCATAAACACAAGATGGCCCTTTTGGGAAATAGCAACCCCTACCCCACACTTGAGAGTGAAAAATTAAATCTTGAATGATGATTTAACACCATGGCTTAAGAAACATCATAACTCCATTCAACAGGTCATATGATATGTATCTGGCAAAGAAGAATTGAAACGCTATGACAAGCTTTAAATGGAAATGAGTAGGGTAAGTAGGGAAAAAAACTCAATTACACTTGGAGGGATAAACAAGAATAAATTGTTGGAAATGAGAGCAGATTTGCGTGTCACAGCTTGGACTTGTCAGCAATAATCTTATATGAGCTTGCCTTTATACTCAGTGGTCGGGTTCGCGGATATATTCTCGTCCCGGTTTGTGCGTTAATTCCGTATTGTGGCAGTATTCCATCGTCGAGAAGTTCATACTCTGCGTTCGGTCGTGCCTCATGTAGTGCTGCGAGGATGTTTTCACTCCACAGTCCAATGCAATTGTTGCCCACAAGCTGAAAGTATGGGTTGAGAAGTCCACAAGCGGAGTCGAGATCGATGAATCTAATACGCATATGGTTGAGGGAAACATACGCATCCAACGACCTGACCGCAGCAATAATAAGACTCTCGAATGAATTGATGAAATTCATATTGGTAATGCCAGACAGGTCATTGAGCATTGGAGAGCCATCATCATGAGTCCGTTGTTCGCGGCAGCACGACTTCACCACAAGGTCAATCGATTTTAGCCTCGAATTTGTGGGATTTTTAAACATTGCTGTCCGCGCATGGATGAATAATCCAGCACAGACTTTGCCTGTAAAGGTCAAGGATTCCAGTTGGGGTGCAATTGCCCCCAACAATAAGCACAGATGTGGTTCAGTGTAAATGGTACCAAACCAGCGTGAATGCGAGCTTGATTTGTTGCAGAATCCTTCTAAACTAATGTCTAGTCGAGTAATGGTTCTAGGGAAGTTGGAGAGGGCTTTGGATATCGTCACATGCGCCTCTAATTTTCGTTTGGCATAGGAACAATCCCATTCGCGAAGATTGGGTAATGCTTTGGCCAGGTTACACCAGTGTTGGTAGTCCCTCATAATATTCCATGCGCCTCTCATCACAAACGTTTGAATGTTGGGGAGCTCCTCCAGACTCTCTTCCCCGGATTGACCCCACGGGTCATTGTCGAAATGCCTGATCATGGGGGGTTTCTTGCAGTGGCCGCCTTCGAGCGTTAGGATGCGTGCGTGGGGGAAAAAGTAGGCAACGTGGCAGAATATCTGTTGCAACGTGGCATTGCGACTGGCGAATCTGAAGCTGGCATTACTAGTGGAGCCGTTATTTGATGTGCTTTCGAAAGTAGCCACCGTGGCTTGAAGGACTGCCGCGACGTTTGCCAAATGAGAGCCTTCATTTCCATTGTGAGGGCGGTAGAAGTGCCTTACGCGGCCCTTTGGCATCCTGTCGCCCCATACTGGAACCCAAATTTCAATGTGACGGACATAGGAAGATAGCTGTGTGTGTGACAAAAACCACTCAGCACATTCAAGCAGCCCATCGGTGGTACCCTTGACCTGAACTATGACAAAAAGGAAACAGGGTAAGCATCAGGATAGTAAGAGGAAATAATAAAAGTAATAATTAAGGAGAGTTGATACCTACTATGTCGATAGATTCTCTCCTGGACCAAAGGTCGCCAAAGAGAGCAAACAAGAGCTAGGTCCGAGAGTGCCTTTCGGCGGGGATGCCGTAGGGCTTTGCTCCAACTATTTGGGGTGGATTTGGTGGGAGATAGGGAAGCAAGAGTGGAGCCTCGGACGCCAAAAAGATGGTCTAGAATCGCTTCATGTATCTCTATTGGAAGGTTTTTGAACAGCATGCGGGACGGTAGGTTGGAATTCTGCATCTCTACGTCAAACGTTTCCAGTTCGTGGGAAGGGAGTGTATGCGAAAAATCCAGCGAAAGTTGAAGCGACTGATTAAGTTCCTGCTGGGACTGGAGTTGCAGTAGCTGCTCCTGTTGAAGGTGGTGGTGATGTGGATGAGGTTCTTTGTGGCCGAAATCCTGTTGCTCAAAGAGGCTACTATGTGCAGATTTTGGGCAGGAAATAGAAGGAGAGGATGGAAGGGTGATCTGGTCGACGGGGAGCAGAGGAAGCGGTGTCATAGTAGATAACATGGTGTCCATGGAAGGAGACGAGACAGCAATGGTTGAATGAGAGAGATATTTTCGGGTGACACGCGCGATAAATAGACAAGCCGCCGAAAAGAGGGGGGGGAAAACAGATGAGGCCCGAAAACAACAGCCAGGCTGTTCTTCCTTAAAACTGGGGGGTACAAGGGAAATGCCAAATTAGCAACCGAAGAACAAGAGTCAATCAAATGTAAGGTGCCAATGGGAAATTAATGAAGGACACATCCATCTTGAAGGATTGCAACGTGAAGAACGTGAAGGAGGGACGAAGAGGAGGGGGTTTTCCCACTGTTCCCGCTTCAACACCAGACGGTAAATTTCGAGGAAGGATGAATATGAGGTGTGATGAGAGCAACGACTGTTGAAAAGTGAGTTCATTGACACGGGAACAAGAAGAGGGGCCAACTGAAAAGGTCGGGAAAAGATCCAGTACTGGACACGAGGCCAAAGGGAGAAATAAGTGAGGAGCGAGAGTGGAAAAAAGAAGACCAGAGGGAAATGGATGAGCTGGGCCCTTGCTACTGGCAAAGCTGATGTTGAGGATGTTTGAGGGCCAAAGCGAATGTTTGTTAAATCGCAGTAGGCAGAAAATATTGAAGTAGAGGAGGTATCAGTACAAAGATCCGGGGTGAAAACAGGGAAATATCCGGTATTGGTACAAGGGCTTGGCGGCCAAGGGGGATCAGATAAGGCTGAGGCACATGGCTTTGTCAGATGTTAGGGGTCAGGTGACGCCTATGTGATATGCGGGAATGGTTGATTCCTATTAGTAACTTAGTGCTGGGCATGACCGCCCGGTAGCCGCACCACCTCACGTGATGTACGCGTATATCAGTTAGCTGGCCAGTCCTCCCACCAATGGAAAGACCAACCATCTCACAGGTTATGGCCCAGATAGCAGTTTTTTAAGCAAAACAAGACATTTTAATTAGAATATGCTGCAACCAACATGACATTGAATGACTTCAACTAGATTTCCTTTAAAAATGCTCTTTTTACACTAAAAATCAGAAAATTTCAAAGGAATACTATTTATTATAAGAAAATAATTACATTCATAAAGAAATCAAAATAAAAATATCAATTTTATAAAAAAAGACTCTTTTGCAATAAAATCATAAGATTTTATAGGAATATTGTCTGATTGCAAGAAGTGATTGCATTTTTTAAAGAATTAGCACTTACATTATATCTATTATAAGTAACTTTTAATTATTATTTATATATAAATTAGAATGAAAATTATTTTTTATATTTTTAATTAATATCTCAAGACTCATTCTCCTCTGTGTATAAAAAAGAGCACAATCAAATGTCAAAGTCTAGCTCAGCAGATAAGAGAGAAACTAAATATGTATTGATAGAGAAAGTAATGAAAAAAATCAATTTCAATCATAATCTGAGAAAAAAACTCACATATTATGAATCAAATGATAAGACTTCATCTCTTATATCTATTTCTATTTTCATATCTATTTCTAATGCAAGTGATATGATCATTATGACTGTAGTTGATTCACTTGTATTTTATCATCAAATGATAACTATACAGTAGAATATTTAAATTAATGAAATTATCTCTATGTATACTTTAAAATAAAAGATATACAAATATCAAAAGAAAGTATAAAGTTCAATAGATTTAAAGATCATGATGATATTTGATGAAATCAACTATCAAACATGAAGAATTGATATTCTTACAGATACAGAGATTATTGATGATATAGATATCTTGATAAAAAATCAGTATAAATTATCTCAAAATATCAATATATTGAAAAAAAAATATTAAACAGTATGTATAAAGATTTTATATTATCAAATGCTTCAATTCTTGTTAGAACCTGTATAGATAATAATTGAAAAGTTGAAATTAGATAATGCAGCTACTCTATGACAGAGAATTAGCACTAAATATACAGTCTTCTTAGTAGAAGAATGAATAAATGTAACGAAGAAGCTTTCTATTTTATATATTAAAGATAATGACTATATTATCTATCAGAGGATATTTTACTATCTAGTTGCATATCATAAAAGTTAATCAAAAATACAGATGATTTCTATCATGATCTTTTTCTCAACAGAGTATAAAATCATTATATAGTTTTTGTAAAAACTCATCTGAATGATTTTTATATAACAGATAAAGATTCAATTATTAATATAGATATTAATGATCTGATAAAGTAATTGATCAATTATATAAACAAGATAAAGAAAATTAATTATTTAAAAGCTTTTAAAATAAATGTTATTACTATGAGTAATGATAATAAGCAGTTCAATATATTATCTTCTGTTTCAAAGTGCAATATCTGCAACTGAACAAAGAATATAAACAAGATTTGTTAACATCTACACTCAGAATTAGTGACTGATTAATAGAAAAAAAATAAATAAAAATAAAATTATTAAAAATACTAATAAGAATAGTGATAAATAAAAATCAAACAATAATAGAAAGAAGAATAAAAATAATAATAAAAATAAAAATAATAACTTTAGTAATATAATATTAGATCTTCTAGTCTTTTAATCTAGTGTTAATTTTGTAATTA